CGGCGCCCAGCAGCGCGCGGCCGGCCTGCGCGCCGCACGAACCCGCGCACACGCACACCAGCTTCACCTGATAATACACCGCCTTATATGACACACTTCGGTTTACACAAAACTCGCATGCAATTTATTATACTATTATAAATGCGAAAGTTTAGATGGATGTTTTTTACAGTTTGTAGCAAAAACGGCAAAACGGATTATGATGAAATTTGGTATAGATATAAGAGGATAGTCTGGAAGAACACGTAGGATATTCATTTTTGTTTTTTATGAAATCCACGAGGACGGTGTCGCGGGCGAAAGCTAGTGTTTCTATAAGACTTATTTCAATACATACTAAAACAGCAATTTAATAACATTAGTATAGATGTAAGTGATACTCACGGAGCCAGGCGTTGTAATAAACTTTCTGAATGTGCGGGAAGTGAGATCGGTGATGTTGAGGAGGTCGTTGGGGGCGTGCGGGGCGTGCGGGGCGGTCGGGGCGCGGTAGTGGTGCGTGTGCGCGGCCGCCGCCTGCGACCGCAGCGTCCGCCGCAGACCAGACTTACTGAACTTGTGTATGAAGTCCCGCACTGACTTCGCACTGTATTCCTCCTTAAGTACGTATTGGGTGCCGGACTGAAAAATATAAAATTTCATTTTTTTATTTTATTTTTATATTTTTTTTTAATTTTTTATTTTTTTATTTATTTATTTTTATTAAGTTTAATGACGTCAAAATATATAGCCTAAAGCGTGACGTAAGTGTAGGGCTTTTTATTTAAAAAAGAATTATTCAAAAATATGCTGTAATTGCTGACATCTTAGGCAAAAAAAAAAGTGTGTTTACGCTTTATTATATTAGTGTAGATTGTATTGACATGTATTTGTGACACTTTCGCCTGTATGTTTACAAGTCGAAGTTTGTTTGATAATTACAGTAAAAGACTAACCGTACTGTCTAATATAACAACAGCGGTCATATCCTTCATGTTGGTGACATCAACACCGAGTGCTTCAGCGAAGTGATGATTGTGGACAGAGTCGAGGGCGATCATGTACAAGCTAGCATTGGTAGCACACGAGAGACCATCTATATGTGTGATGTTACCACTAACTCTGGCAGGCCGCACAGCCGGGCTCGATTGTTGAGCAAACTTTAGTAAACGACAGGAATGTTTTAAATGGTCCTCTATTAAATTTTCCGTGGAAAGGAGATCATCTTCGTGTGGCAACATTGATGATTCAGTGCTGAAGTAAGAAAGTTGCTTTATTATTAAATTCCAACTTTGTTAGTGTTGTAAAGAGAATGTATTCCTTTTTCTTATGGTTTATACACATTTTCGGGGTAATTGATATGATATTATGTTATGACGTTAGCTTTATCATCTTACTTCTTACTATTATTATAAATGCGAAAGTTTAGATGGATGGATGAATGTTTGTTAGAGTTTTTAGCCTGAACTGCTGAATGGATCTTGATGATATTTGGCATAGATGTATAGGATACTCTGGAAAAAACTAAAGCTACTCACTTTAGATTTTTCTTTTTAATTCCACGTGGATGTTTTCGCGAGGAAAAGCTAATTATTACATAAAGTTTGTTATATCATACAATTGACATTATCTTTGTTGATTGACTCATTAATCAAGATAGGTATATATATGACAGACATCTTAAATTAATATCATAATTATTAATACATATTTGCTGAAATTAATTATTTATCAAAAAGATAACTTATACTCACTTAGATTGTTCCGTCTCAACATCCTGTTCCTTATTTACATTATCTTCATACATCTGACATTTTTCATAATTATCATAGAAACTCTTTTCCGCAGGTAGAAAGTTTGTACTGCATTCGTTTAATACGTCCAAAGAGGACAACATGGGTAAATCATCACTTGTACTTTGCATTACTTTCGATACAGCTAAACCTTGCTTAAGTATAAATTCAAAAACACCACTTTTCTGACTTTTCTGTGTCACATTATTCCAAGGATATTTATTATTATTAGACACTATTTCTTTTTTATACAATTTGCTCGGTTTTCTTATCGACTTAAATTTGTGGTTTTCACAAAATTGTAAATGATTCTTTTGCTGGTATATCAGTCTTTGTACTTGTTGCAGTTTTATTAATTCACTTATCCATTGATTGCTATCATTATTCTTACAATTATAGTATTCCATTGCTACTTCCCTTAGCTAAAAAAATACAATTATTAATATATAGACAAAGAATAAATTCACTTCTCATTTAAGACCAGATAGAGCACAGAAAACTGTCATGATAAGAAATATAATTATAACGAGAAATATAATTATCATATTCCATGCTATGAAAACTTTATTTTGGTGTCAAATTACATTTTAATGTACTGGGTAATTAACATTCATGGACTATAAATGTTCTGAAATACATTTGATATATTCAGAACAATAATTAAAATATGTCACTTACCAATGTATATGAAGGTAATTGTTCATACAAAGGGTTTAGTGGTGTAAATAATATCAACATTGGACTGCCGTCAGCATATCTCTCAAAGTTAAATGACTTCTTCCACAATGGAATGATTCTTGCTACTGGCTGTGAGAAATTCTCCAAAACCCAATGCATGAGTGTTGATTCATTCCATGTATTGTTACTATTCTCTATTTTAAATTCCTATAAAATAAACAATACATAATACATTTTAATATAGGCAAAGGAATTTCTTATTGGGATGGTACTGGGTTATATAACTATAACAAAATAAAAAGAGATAAACAAATGACTTTGTATTTAACATGTGGTTTCTACTGTTGTCTGTTATCAAAGGGTTTTAACAAGGTTTTATTTTATTACCTCCATTCTTTTAGTTGTTTAATTGCATTTTATAAAACCTAGTAGTGGTCGCCAGAGACTTTGTCCATAATGTTTTTTTTTAATCAGGTAGCCTATGTTTTCTGTCAGGCTATTTTGTACATCTATTCTCAATTTCATAGATTTCCATTCGGACATTTTGGAGATACCTTATAATGAACATCCATCCAAACATACAAACTTTCGCATTAATTTTAGTAAGATTACCATGATTGACCAAACATTACCTTTGTGTCATTCCAAAGCATGAGACGGGCATTAGGCAGATTTCCAACACCGAGATCTGCAGCGAGATCTGCAGATGTTACAACCGCAAAACATATCTCACCCACCGTGTCAAACTCCCGTGACTTGAGAGCCACATTGTACCATGTGTTGTAGTATCTAGAAGTGTCACTTAATGGTGTATAACCTACTGCCACAGCCTGCAAATAAATGAAATTTGTTGTTTACAATGAATGAAACAAACATTACTCCAAACATATAGTTAGACACTGTTCAATTACACATGTGTTTGACTTTTTGAAATGTTAAGGGTGTCAAACAGCTGAATACCAAATTGAATCTTAAATATTTTACTTCATAAGCAACACTTAGTCTGCCAGATGTAAATATTTTAGTGAAATTTGGGATTTAAGCATGGCTTTATGATTGAATGCAGTGCTACATATTTTATTGTTTCAATATTCAGCTGTTAGTATGATACTTTAGTTATGAAACTACTGTAATGATAATACACATCATAAAATATTAATAGCTTTGACAGTAGTTAAACTATTAAATATGATGGCATGATATGAATATGCTTGGTTTTTTAAATAATATATCTTTATATTTAAAAATATTTTTTTTACTAATGTAAAAAAATGTACTTACATCATAAATAGATAAATAATGAACTAGATCTTCAGTTGAAGATATTCTTACCAAGGGCTTCATAATCAATTCCAAAAAATTTACCATACTATGTGCATCTTTAGGACCTGAAGTGTGATGAAAAATATTAATCTATTCTCTAAGGAATTATAGAAAAAATAGCTAAAACCGGCATTCCAAAAATTTTACCTTTATAAAGAACCCCTCTAGAGTTAACAGTATATGCCATCAGAATAGGCCAAGATGGTATTTTGTTATGTTGCAATCTACATTCACTACCTGGATTCCAGCAATTAATAGCAGAAAAATAAACCTGAAAAAAGTAATAAGGACAAAATACATTATTCAGATTACAGTTAAATGTTGTCCATTTATAACAAACGAAAAATAAATAAATAGAAAAACAAACTTACCCTATCACTCAAAACATTAGCAGCTAACTCAAACTCCCCTCTAACAAACTGTGACTCCGCATCCCAAGGGGCATAATACATTATGAATGATACATCTGCCATGTTCACAGCAGCCAGAGCTTTGCCCAGCTGCCCTCTATACCAATCTGTCACCACTGATCCTGAATTAAAGAACCTCATTGCTTGTGGGTGTTTTGACACTTTTGATGGTCTGAAACATGAATTTAATACAAACATTTAATAAGACAAAAATTGTCATACGAGAAAAATATATATAAAATAACAATTACGTGTTATGAAGAGCTCCATAAGTCGTCAAAGCGAGAGCAATGCAAAAGACCATTTCCTTTATCAACATATTGATAGTTAACTCCTTGTTATAGTTTTGTTGAGAATCTGAAGAATTTTCGGTCGAGTCTCGCACATCGCTAGAATCGCTGGGTTTTTCTTTTAATGACGTGACCTGCGAAATATCTTCGGAGTCCACCGTTGGAAACATTACACGTCATTCGAAAACAATATTGATACCGAAATAGGATTTACAATTAAATTATTTGAGTTAACATTTTCTACACCTGTTAGTGATTGTAGATGGCTATAATTTACTAAGTTAATTATAAAAAACATAATAAACTTTGTTTTAAAACTCAAGTTCCAACATTTTTTTGACAAGTTTGATTGTCAAATCAATATGAAACTTCAAAATTGACAATTCGGCAGCATTGCCATATGAATATTATCCAACTCTAGCAGAAAACAAATAAAAAAATTAAATAATTGTATTCGTTTCATTTATCTTGTGGGACCATACATTGTCCAATTACCCCATCTATTCTAGTTAAAAACGACTAAAACACATACGCAGAAAATACCCCGTGTTGGGCCTGGTTCACACTTTGTCAGTATATTAGAACAGCTACACCGACCATGCATTCACTGGCCAGGTAGTGTTCACAGTTAATTGCCAGTCAGTATTTGTACACTACAATTACAATCAACGATTGCTGATCAACTGTACTGGCCAGGTGTGAATCGTTACGTTACGGCCTGTTTAGTTAAAATAGGCCAGTGATCCAGTGATCCATAGCAAGTCCTATGTTCCATAGAGTTTACTTCTTATATGGTATCACCATCTTACTGAATATTTCTTATCTATCAAACAATTTGCCTTGTTTTGGTCTAAACGAGGAAGTTGTGTCACAATTTTGCGTTATAAATTATAATGCCTGATTCATAATATTACACCAAAAGGTCAAAATAAACTGTTCAATAAATTACTTCTATCAAACATTCAACATTATTCCATTAAATTGTTTCATACGAATTCTATTAGTATCCGTTGTAAGCCTCAGTAAATATGGAATCTCCCAGACAGTTAGAAACGGACACTGTAGAGTTTTGGAGGAAACAAGCTAAATATTACGAACAAAAGTAAGGCCATGCATCATTACTCACAAGTTTGTATGAAATTACTGGTTTTGCAATCTTCCATTATCTTAAATGTTTGCAGAGTAATCGACATTCAGCAAGAATTAGATGAGTACACTGAAAATTCAGCACAACTTGAAAAGGAATTGGAAGCATCTTTGGTACAAGTTGAAAAACAGAATAGAGACTTAGAACACCAAAATCAACGGTTAAAAAATGACATAGATATATTGAGGGTATGTTTATATAGTAATTACTAAAGGAACAAAACATAAAGTGGTTAGTAAAGTAATTATAGTAATGTCATTGAGAAAATTTTAATCTTTTTAGAAAAAACTGGAGCGAAGTCAACATGAAACCAATGCATTGGAAAGTGAATTACAGGCACTGAAAATAGAAAAGGAAAAACAAGCAACTTACATACGAGAAATTGAACAAAAAAATGATGATTTGGAAAGAGGGCAGAGGTGAAGTTTTACTTTATTTTAAAAATAAAAATTTGTCATAAATTATAATGAAAATTGAACTTAGATCACATTGAAATTAAATCTAAAAATTAGTATGGCATAATTTGAAGGTCTTTGAATTGGTTAGTATGACATTTAAGATAAATTTGTTTATGTTCATTATTAATATTACTTTTTTCAGAGTTATAACAGAGTCAGTTTCTTGTATAGAAACACTATTAAATCAGGCATATGAAAGAAATGCAGTACTAGAAAGTGAAGTGGATGAAATTGAAAATTTGAGAGTGAAACTTCAGAGAGCTAATGATGAAGCAAGAGGTAAATTGCCTATTACTTATATTTGATATCGTCAGTGCAGGTGTCCCTTATAGATTTATCAAGATAATTGTGTGTTTTAACACTTCTTAAGCAATTGGTATTGGACAATCCTCTGCTTTTTTGCTTCCTTCTTCTATAAATAATACTGTTTGCTAACTTTGTAACTGAATTTCCTGTAGCGGTTTTTAATATATTTTTAAGAAATCTGACTGTTTTAAATTCCATTATTGACTTTCAGATCTGAAGCAAGAATTAAAGGTAATAGAGAAGGTACCGGAATATAAAAAGGAAGATGGCAGCATTGAAAATGTATGCAATGGACATATCTCTAATACATCTCGCACTCAAGTTGAAATAGAAACTCAGACATCTCTAACAACACCACAGAAGCGTAAGTAAAACAATTGTTATGGTTGTTTTGTTTATTTAAAGAAAATTTAATGAAAATATACACTAATAATCAATTTTATTGGCACCAATGCTTTGGATTTACAGATGAATATGTTTTTTGTGTTATATTATATAGTAATCTATTTTCCACATATGGTACTGGGTGCCTTGTAGTGTTAACTCTGATATCTGTTATTTAATTATTATAATAATTATATCATTTCTTATACTCAAATTTAACAATTATGTGACCAATTATTGAATATGTAATAATTTAACAGGTGAAATTAATGGTAATGCAATGACACCCTCTTCCCGTGTCACCGCTATCAATATAGTGGGAGATCTGCTCAGGAAAGTAGGGGTGAGTGAAACAAAGTTATTTATTTTCATAACAGTGGTAGTAGTTGTTGCTGTAATGTATGTAGTTTATTGGAAAACAATATGACAATAGTGCAAACAGATTGTAAATACAGATTATATATTTATGACCAATAAATTATTTTATATATGTATTTATGTATAGATAATATTATGTATTCTATAAGAAGTTGAATATATTTTTACAACATTGTTACTTATATATTTATTATGATATATTTGATATGTGACAGTATTTTAAAGCCTAAATATGTGTAGTGATTAACTTAACAAAGTAGTTTTGGAAAAATATTAATAATAAATTATTTTTATACATCTTTCTTTGATTACAATGTCCTGTAATTTTTATTGTTTAAAGTAAGTGACAGGAAAAATCCCCTTTATGTTATTATATCAGAATAAAAAATAAGTTGTGTATAATAAAACACAATGTAAAAAAAACATTAATATCAATCTATGCCCTTATGATAAGTGACGGCAGTAATGACAAATAATGATTTTCCCGTCTGTGTGATCAACCTTTTTATTGATTGAACTAATTTAACCTTATGATAAGGATTGACTTGCAGTATTTCTTATAATCTCCAATATCACACATTTTAAAATTAAGTTTTAAGTAACCCCTTACTATCTTATTACTATACTATTTTAAATTAATATTTTTTTTAATAAAATATATAAAATAGTTATTTTATATATATATAAATACATCCATGTTTGTATAACTTTTGAAGGATTTTTCGTTATTAATTTAACTACTGATTTTAATTGGTTATCTCACTACCAAAATGGATTATCCATAAGTAAAGTTTTATATTTGACATTCTATTTAAAATAAGTATTAGTAGTTTATATGCATTTGTAAATATTTTGTAAGTTAGATATCATTTGAACTAAATATGTAGCGCCTAGTACTTGCTTAACTTTTTTATGTAAATTTAGGCTTTTATTTAAATCAGTTCCATTGATAGTAGATAGATTACTACTTGTGCTGTTTCTATGTTTTGCATGGTTTTATTATGTAGTTTGCATGATGTTTATTGCTTTGCAGCTTGAGAGATTTCTTTGCCGTGAGTGTGGTAAGGTCAAATGCTCATGTAGTGCTTCAGTAATCGTCGACCAAACATCGGACAACGTAGCTAGTACTAAAGAAATTAAAAACGATAGTGAAGAATATGTCGTGGAGTATCGAAAAACGAGAGAATTAACACGACAGTTGTCTAAATCTGATAAACCTGATGATATACCAAAGAAACCGCCTCGGAACAGTCTCAATAGGCCATCTGAGCCATTTGAAAGATCTAATGGTGATAGTGGAAAGTTGCGAAGGTCATTTGCAGTACGCTCTAGAGAGGGACTGGAGAATTTGTTAAATTTGGCTTCCATTCGCAAAGGACATGAACAAGGAAAAGCGAAACAGGGGCTAAAATGATAGAGTGTACTTACTGTACCTGTATTTTTTATATGATTAATCTAATAACACTTTATTGTACTACCGAATACTATGTAGTATATAACTATTGTAACACTCAGTAAAAGTAAGCAGAAATAAACAGTGTAAATGAATTCAGAAATATTTAGTTAAAAGGCAAAGTAGGTTGTGGAATGGTTGACTAATGTTTTTTTTTGTAGTTCTAGTTGTATTTTTGGAGAGTAGAAGAAAAAATATCCTCTATTTTGTCCAATATACAAATGTATACTTTTTTAAGTACCATACTACATAAACTTATGGTTTTTTTTACAAAAATATTAGCATGTAAAAGATAATGTAAAGATTATTAATTTTATTTAGTGCCATATAAAAGAGCTGCTATTTAAGGTCTTTAAGTTTTCTTAACTTTAGTAATTGTAATATACAATTTTAGTAATACATAATAGTTACATAAGGTTTGAATATATCACAATTCTGGTGCTAAAATCGTTGTGTACTTTATACACACAACTTTGTGACTTAATATTAAATAGAATATAACAGAAATAAACGTATTAAAATATAGATAATTCAAAGTTATCTAGTGTTCAATTTTTTTTATATTTATGTATTTTTTTGTAATGACTTAATGTAGGATAAAATATGTGAATGTTACTGTTATTTTATTTTAAAGTTTCTCTTTTCTCATTTCCATTTTTCTCGTGTTAAAAAATTATATTAAATGTATATATCATGTTTGTCTATGGTTTATCATCTTGTCCTGTTTATAGTATTTTTATGGCACGTTTTGTAGGTGACGGTTAACAATGCTTTCTGTTTCAGTCATATACTAATATTAACTCCATTCATATTGTGTACTTTTCTTCATTGTAGGCTTTGGAATCAAAGTTAGCGTCGTGTCGTGGTACAGTTAGACCTAAAGAGCATTCACCAAATCCGAGCTCTGACGTCAATAAGGACTACAGGTGTGTACTCAAGAACTAGGATAGCCAACATCAAATATCCACTGAGACTAGCAACACTGTGTTAGCTATTGTAGCATAGATTATAAATATTCTTACAACGGCTTCACGTACACACATCGGTTATAATCGTATATGTTGTGATCAATAATATTTTCCTAATTAACTAATATCTGTGATGATTATGAAGTAATTTAGGAAAACTTAGTAAACGCTAAATTTTTTTGGGCTACCCACCGGAGACCTCAGTTGTAGCAAATATGCGAGCTTGCTTCACACTGTTTTATTCACCGGAGTAACATCCTTGCTATTGATCTTATAAAGACACTCACACACAAATGTCCTTATCGCTTGTTGGTCTTTGACTTGAAACATAAAAGTACACAGCAAGATTGCAACACCCATAAAATGAGTGTGTTGGGCTCACAGTATTTGTTTATCGTCTATTTAAGGTGGAAATAAATATTTTGGAATGATAGTTTTATGTAAATATTAAGTGTATAGCTATTGTGTATGTAACTGTTAAAATTACAAATTTTTATCATCTTGGATATTAACTTTTATTGTTTACAGTTCATTTGATAATTTATAAAGGAATTATAATAAACATGTATTTATATAAATAATCACATTTATAATAACAGTTAAATACCCATACAAAATAAATGATTATAAATTCTAAATAATTGTTGGGTGTTCCTGCAATTTAAATATCTATTTATTTAATATGTGGATTTTTATAGCCGTGTGCTTTTTGAAATAAAGTCTTAGGTGAAATACTGTTAGGATCAATTCTTAATTTAATTTTGTACAAAATTCAGTTCAAGCATCCACATAATTTGTAAACTATTTTGAGCCACTATTCTCCTTCATAGATATTACTTTGTCTAGTCTGTAATTTGTGTTTGTAACAGTGTGTGACTAACAATTAACATAAATAGCCAATTTTAATATTGTGTTCTTTTAAACTTCAATTTTAATCAAATTTGCAAGCTATTAAATATACGTTTGTGTGTTGTTGGCCTTATTAACATTGTGATAAATATTTAGCTCATTATTTACATTCCTGTAAATCTTCATAACGGTAAATAACTTTGCGTGTTATTTGATGTTATACATTTATGAGTTTTCATTGTCTCACAATATAATTCTTGCCTATAAATGTATTCACTGTAGGTGATGTTAAGAGTAAACATAATATCAATAATTACGATAATTTTGAGTATGCGCAAAATTTTAGTACTTTCATAATTACTATAAAAAAATATCATATTTATAGTAATGGACTGTATGATATATTCTCGAGTTAGTTCAAAAATATTCTACATGTTATAATCTTTAATATTCTAAAGCGACATAATGAAACATTATGTTTCTATGTATAATGTATTAACATAAATTGGTTTTATATATAAAGAAAGAAAATTGTATATATGTTTTGTGTGCTCATAGTATAGCATTTTTTTAATCTCTAAAAGTCGGTTATTACAAACATGGCTGCATTGCATCACAGGGATGAATTGTATTAAATTTAAATTTATAATTTAGATTGAAAAGTCCAAGTCCCATTTATGGTGAACACATGAAATAATTGGTGATTGGCTTTACAAATTTACAAGTTAAGTTTTAGTTGTAGGTTTGCCTTTCAATTATTATTTGTATAAGAGATAAAAATTGCCCAAGTCTGTTGCAACGGTATACGCAACTACGCATTTATATATAGTGACCAGACCAATTTAATTTGTGCGCAATTATTCACGATAATAAAACTAAGTTGAGGCATACAATGTGTTTTATTGATTTATGTTTTAAAATACCTCGCACTATTATATTATTTGTTTCCCAGTGACGACATTTGATACTATATTACTCCATTCAACATGTTTTGACACCTCCACTGGTGGTTTGAAGTTATTCACTAAATCTTGTAATGAAACAGTAAATAGTTTTATTTGAAGCACCAAAGCAGATGCCTCATCATTTCTCACTACTTCAAGGAAGACATTTCCTGAAAAGCAATAGTTAAATCTAAATGTGTTATAAAATGTACACTCTCTGTATAGATTATGTATATAATGCATTTCCACTGACAAAAACATGTTGTCACTAAGTATTTAAGAATAAGTGTTATAGCAGTAGAAACTAAGTTTACATGAATCAAGATTGGCATTTTATACATTACTAGATTCCTAACATAAAAAGCAGTAAAAAGGAAATTACAAACAACTTGCCTGCAACTTTTGTTGATTTTACTATCCATAATACAACAACATACAGAGGTAAAGTCTGTACTAAATATATACATTTACTAAGTATATATTGTACCAGCATTGATAACACTCGAAACTGAAAATGTAACAATTTATGCATAACCTTTAAGACAATCAATTTATTGAAAATATTATATACTCACCATAGTAAATACTGTGTAATACATAACTGTTGTAGGTAATAATAATAATAAAATAGTGAATGCAACTGTACCCACAAATAATTCTTGATTTGTGTATTCACAGGAATCTATACCACCTCTCAAAGGATTATATTTTCTACCAACAAACAATCTTAGTAGTGCAATTAATCCAGATATTTGAATATTAAATAACCTGTAAATATTATATTTAATAAAAATACTGATAATGTAACTAAATTATTACATTTTTTAAATTGCACTTTTTATGTACCTTGCAGCATACACATAAATACAATATGAATGAAATGTTGCAATACAAATCATATCTGCTATTATTGCAGCTTGAAATGTGAAACCTAGGTAACCTATATATCTATAAAAATGCAGGATAATGTTTAATTTTTCACCAGAAACATCTGAAAGCAAAAAGCTTCATATAATCTAATTTTGTTTCCTATGTTATTAAGAATTTAAAAATTATTTTTTCCTACCTAAAAATAGCCACCAAAGTTCAATGTGATAAGAAAAATATCTTCCCAACATTTTATTAAATGCATTATTCAGTTTAAGTCCTGCTGGAGATCCCATTAACCATTTCAACAAAGTGTACATCAGATTAACTAATTTCTGCAAATTTTACAATTATAATGATAACATTACATTGCATTGTATTTCAGGATTATCATAGAAAAATGTTAAATTTACCTCCAAAATACCCATTAAAAGTATGCCTAAATCTTTTTTGTCTTTTAAAAGTAACTCTAAAATAAGGTACCCAATAGTAATGTCTACTAAAATTGATAAGATAAAATTTCCTTCTTTCATTGATATCTGGAAAATAACAATCACCATAAAATTAAATTATTAGCAGTACATAGTTTAAGGAAAGTTATAAATAAATATCAAATAAATATATGTGATACCTCTTTGTCATACCACTCTTGTATGGCACAAAAATACTGATACTTTAAAATCTATCAAAACATTTTATAAAAATGGGACAAAAAAAATAATGTTATGTTTATTTATAAATTATTAAAACTGAGTACTGTAAATAATTCAGTTTTCCAAACTTACTTTCCTATTTCTTCTAATGGATGTTATGAGCCAAATGATCATATTTAAATAATTAAATACATGTTGAATAAACATTGATGAAGCTAGCCAGGAAGGATTTTTAAATGTGGCTTCATAATCTGTTCTATTTCTCTCCTCTCTATAATCATTCCTCACTAAAGTTTGCAGTTCAAAAATGTAATCATTACTTTCACTCAATGTTTCCGAATTTTTGATTGCATGGTGATCATAGTAAATAATTATGCAATTGTCAACATCATTAATTTTCTTCCCTCCTATACTCAAATATTGTATTTGTGGACATACTTGATCATTTATGATCAAACAGTTTGTAAAAGATTTGAATTTAAACTTGTGTTTCTCAAAATTGCTATAATATCCATAAATAATACTATCAGTCTTAGTTACAGTTTCTTCAAAAAGAGCAGTCCTTTTTAAATACTTTGTAATGTATATAGTAGTCAAATTATCATTGTTTGATTTAATGTATCCCTTAAAATAAATCTCAGTATTTTCCGATTTTGGCTCTACGGGAAGAATTAACCGTAGTGATGACATTTTAATAACAGTAAATAGTCACGAAACTACGATAAATCACATTTTTTTTTATTATTTGAGATTTAAGTATCAAACTGTAAAAGTATTTCAGAGTCTATTTAGATAGATTGTAAACATTAACGTTCCTCCTAACCTATTGATAACGGTAGTTAAAAGAGCTCATTTGTAATTAAAAACAAGTAAATCAAATTATTAATGTTATCTAAGTCTAATTTCGAATTATCACTTATACAATATTATTATTGTTGTGTTTGACATTTGGCATATTTGAACCAATGTATGACAGAAAATGACAGTGACAGTTTGAGAGACGTGCTGCCACTCAACACAACAATTTTTCATTAGAAATAAATATAATTATTTTTAAATCGTATTCAAAGTAAGTTGAATAACTTGCAAATACAATATAATCTTAGCCTTTTATGAAATTAATATTAAAGTGAAAAATAGTCTTTTATAGGTATCTATGTTTTAAGAATAGTCTTCGCCGTCGCCATTTTTCCGCCATATTATTTTCAGACTCGTTGGCTTCTTTCGAGTTTGGATAACGTTATAAAAATAAGACATAGTTAATGCTTAGTTTCAAATTTCTTTTTATAACTAAGAAAGTAGAAGAATTGAGGATATTAGATCATATTTTGTTCACATTGAATCGAAAATTTAATAATGTCGGCTCACGAGCAAATGAGGGCAATGTTGGATCAATTGATGGGTACAGCTCGCAATGGTAAGGAGAATGCTGATATTAATTGATTATTAAATATTTGTAAAAAAACTATTAATATAAATATACACATTAAACATTATCTTACAGGCGAAACAGACAAACATGGGGTTAAATTTTACGACGATTCAGTATGCAAATCATTTTTACTGCAATGCTGTCCTCACGAAATATTGTCTTCAACGGTAAGTTGGTTATTATTAATTCGATTTTGGGTGACACAGAACAGTCATATTTCTGAGATATCATTTTTAGTTATAACTGCTTTAATAATTTACTTTCTATCTTCTAAATCCTACCTCTTCATAATATCTGATTCTTATTTTTTTATACAGGTTTAATAACCTTTTCTGCAATGATTTCTCAGGAATATTGTGTTTATATTGCAGTGTTTTCCTTTCATATACACTAGGATAACATGAAAAAACAATTGCACTAAAGTGTCTAAATTTGTGATTTTTAAATATTGTATCCTAATGTATTTGATGTGTTTTCACACTTTCATTCCTTCTATTTTGCTGTATGTAGTCTCTGGAAAATTCTTACATCGGAGTGGCATTAACTGTGGTGAAATATGCTTTTCAGAAAATGCCCAACACTAGTCTTTATTGCTCATCACAATACTTAACAGATGAGGGATAGATTGTATGAGTTAGGCTGTTCTGTAAGTACCAAGATGTACGTATAAAATATTTCTAGTTAGCTGACATACTTACTGCTAAGCAGAATTTAATTTATTACTTGACTCTCAGGCTTAATTAAAATTATTTAATTATCCAACGGTTACTAATGCTGCTTCGGTGAGTACATATGTGATAATGTCATTGAAAATTGTAAGCTGGGTGATATTGCTGGTATTATCTAACTACATTGGGTATGTACAATGCTGTTTCATGGTTAGACTACAGAACAAATTGTTAAATATTTGCATGTAAATTACAACTCAAACCAAAATACCGTTGAAAATTCCTTAAATAACTATATGAGAAAAGTCTTTAGACTAAAAATGCATAGTTGTTATATGATTATGAAATTTTAGAAAGTGGTAAAATGTACTTTCTAAATTTGTTTTCACTTATACTACATTATATAATACACTTTTTGTGCTGCTAGAATTTTAATTAAAACACAATCTAGTCATAAACCGTAATGTAACTGTCTTTTATGTGCAGTGTTAAAGGTTTAAATTCAACAAACAATAATATATAAGTATAAAATACAAATGTGTTGCATCCTGATATAATTTGCTAAAGTTTAAGATACAAGTAACATTACTAAACATATCTAAATTTACAATAAAAATTGATTAATTTAGAGAGTTGATGCGCTGTAGCATTGAATTTAGATACTTGAATAATTATTCAGACAGTATGCTGTCTCTGTATCTATAGATGCAGCAGAAAGACACATAAAATGTTTGATGGTACTACATTTGTTTCATATGAAAAAGAAATAAACAAAGGCAAGCCAGAGGCCCTAAATATGTTAATAAGTTGTAAAATATTAAAATAAAGTATATCTTTGTTATATCAGGTTGCAATATATATTTTTTGAGCTGAGATATAAATGGATATGTTTGTGTTAGAGTGTTGGCGGGCTAGTTAGGCATACGAGGGTGTTCCACTAAGATTTGTAAGTATATAAATGGTTTATTTACTGGCTGATGAACCAGGGCCAGGGTGAGCTGATTGATGGTGACATTGTATGTATTTTACAAACACATTTTTTTCTCCAATACTGTAGACGGGGTGTTCTTGTCTATGGTCTATAGTGAAATCTGATTACATATTGATCTTTAATGTTATGTGTTATAATGAAATTCGATTTAGTAAATTTCCATATAAAGTAACAGATGTTAGCATTTACATTTTTTAAAAGGCCTGTTACATTAATATATTATTGATTTGTAAAACATCTTGTGGATAAAAGAAAGGTGCTATGGTGTTTTATATTCATAAATTTGAGAGGTCTAAAATATTTTTTGACAAAATTAACTCTTGGTTATTCCTAATAAATGACAAATAAAGCATACAAGTAATGAAAAAAATTAATGTTGTCCAGTATTTAACTGATGAATATAAGGATATTATAATTCTCACTTTTATTAGGCCACAACTTAATGAGGAGGAAAATGACATAACATATAGCAAAATATGACTAAGTCAAAGTCCTATTATATATGTATGTACTTTGTCTAGTTATATTGTTACTTCAATATAATGATATAATTTGTGAAATCTTGATTTTTTAGGTGTTCATAAATCTGCATCTTATATGTTAGTTAAAATAATTGTGTTGATTGTTATTATGTTACATAGACATTGTGGTATTTCAATAATGTAAAAAAACTCGTTATTTTTCACGTGTTTGTAATTTTAATTGCAGCGAATGGATCTAGGTGAGTGTCCTAAAATACATGATCTGGCGCTTCGTGCGGACTTTGAGTTAGCATCGAAAACCAAAGACTATTTCTATGACATTGATGTAAGTATACCATTTTTATTTATTAAATTTTTCTATTTTTAGAATTCTATGTGCTTAAAATATGTTGACTTAGTTTTTAAGATAAAGAATCTGTTAAAAAAAAAACTAAGGAAACAGTAGACTTCTTATAAAACGCCACATTCCTGTTTATATTGTTCTTATACCTTATTATGTCTTAAAAATGTTAAAACTAAGAATTACTTATGCATGTCGCGATTGACATAAAGTTTCCGTCGATACAAGGACAATGACTATTTTTGGAATTAAATAAAACATCAATTGTATGTATGTATTTGAGTATGGAATACTGTTTTGCTGAAGGCGACGGAGCATTTGGAGGCGTTCATCGCGGATTGTGACAAGCGCACGGCGGCGGCGAAGCAGCGGCTGGCGGAGACACAGGAGGAGTTGTCGGCCGAGGTGACGGAGAAAGCAAACGCGGTGCACGAGCTCGCCGAGCAGATCGGACAGAAACTTGCTCGTGCTGAGGCGCTCGGCGAGGAGGGCATGGTCGAAGAGAGTGTCAAACTTATGGGAGAGGTATCTTCTACATAAATTCTTCTATCTTGCACATAAATTCTTTTTCCCTAATTATCAGTCAAAACCAT